AACCCGAAAAAAAAAGGCAAAGCTGCGCCCAAACGAAGCGAATGGGGAGTTTTCTGCCAGTACTGGCCAAGATAAAGCCTGCAGACCTGTCAGTGAACTTAGAACTATCTCAAGTTACAAGTCTAAAATAAAAAATAATATTAAAAAGAAAAAAAACAGACCCTCAAAAGCTCACAGTATTAAGCATTCACTGATCGGACCATTTTTAAACAAAACAAACACTTTTTAGAGGTTATTAAGCATAATATTAACAAAAAAAAAAGATTCGCACCACCTTGTTAAATACTGCACAAGCCCACAAACGGGCAGTGAAGGACAGGAGCTGGATGGAGGAGCTCCTCCATGCTGTTCCACACCATCCATGCTGTGTAGCAATGATGCGGAAACAATTTCCCTATTTACCACTGGCCGCCATACCTACAGTAAAAACTTTCTGCCTTGCAGTCTTCTGCATTTGATCTACTGCTCTAGCAGGGAGGTTAGACAAGATCACAGAATCCCAGAACGTTAGGGATTGGAAGGGACCTCCAAAGCTCATCCAGTCCAATCCCCCTGCCGGAGCAGGAACACCCAGATGAGGTTGCACAGGAAGGCGTCCGGGCGGGTTTTGAATGTCTGCAGAGAAGGAGACTCCACAACCTCTCTGGGCAGCCTGGTCCAGTGCTCTGTCACCCTCACTGAGAAGAAGTTTCTTCTCAAATTTAAGTGGAACCTCCTGTGTTCCAGCTTGTGCCCATTACCCCTTGTCCTATCATTGTTTGTCACCGAGAAGAGCCTGGCTCCATCCTCGTGACACTCACCCTTTAAATATTTATAAACATGATCTCTCTAGAGATCTCATCTCTAGGTCCCTTCCAACCCCCACAACTCATTCTGTGATTTCCTGAATGTATTTTAGTAAACTATGCTTATATGAACTCTTTTCCAGATACACTTTCCTGCCTACATATATATATATTTAAAGAAAGAAAAACTAGACTGCTTTGATAACACCATGTTTCTTCCTAGTCGTTGCATCTTGATCCAACACAGAGTAGCTTACCAATGGGAGAGAGCAAGAGGAGGCTTCAGCATCTTGTTTATTCAGTACTTAAGTCTCTCAGCCAACAAGGCCAGCCAGAGCCATCTGCTGCAGTGGGTTGTGTGAGGCACACTGCACAAAGAGCAAACACTTTCCCTGGGCCAGCCAGCTGCCACCTTAGCTTGGTGGATTGGTTGATGCCCCTACAGGTGGCCAGGCCATTTACTTTTCATCAGCAATTTTATTATCTGTTCAGTCCTTCAGCTGTTCAACAGAAACACACTTAATTCCCACCGTCCCCGAAGCATATTTGTGAGGAACCAACAATCTGGCTGCACGCAGTTTTGTTCTCCAGTCTCTTCTGAGCTCGTTTCAGCGCACTTATCTTGGGTGGAGGCAATACACACCACACACTCACTGGGAGAACTGGAGTCTACAGATAAAAAGACTCCATACAGAGACATAAAAGGCTTAAAGCAACTAACACCAAACCGACATGGAACATGTGTTTTGGCAGCTAGGAAGGTGCATCTCTGCTGGTCTGCAAAAGACATAAGGAGTCATGATTGCATTACCACTCTTTACCTACATTTAATAGTGAAGACATTTCAGTGCTGTTCCTTTTCTCTTTGATAGGGTGATAGTTTTGCCGATCAGTGAGATCCCTAAGCCAGAAGTTACAAAGAGAACATGAGAAGGGAAAGCCAGAAACTACAGCTACATCTTCAATTTTACCCCCTTACACAGTGCAGAGGGGGCATTTATAACATTCCTCAGTCACACCTGTCCCAGCTGACCTTTCCTCCAAACCGGACCCCACTAGTACCAGGTTTTGTATCATAGGTCAGGTCAGACTAAAGAAGGATCTAAGCTGCAAACAGGAGAACAACTGAAAAGCTAATTACAAAACACTTTTTGGCAATTCAGTTATAAACCGTCCCACTGCAGTACTAGCAATAAAAATCCAGTTCACTGCCATGTTAAGATAGTGCACAGGCAAATGCTCAGAAACTGTTCAGACAAACACCTCCCACAGAAGACATTTGGCTATTGCATGCAATGGGTGCAGAATTAAAAGTTAGCTGGGGAAGACGGATCCCTGGGCTGCTTCATTCCAACAACTTATAAGGAAATCTTCTGCATGACACACGTTTCGCTCTTCTCTTCCTGCCTTATTACAGGTTTTCCCATATCCTACATTTCTGTCTTATGTTGTACCTGGCAGATGTGGAAGCAGACAAATTTCTCTTATCCTCCAAGCTCTGGAGCACAGCTGCAGCCACCACTAAGGAGATGGGGAATTTTTGAGCAAAACCAGGGAGCTGTGTGCAAACCAAAGCACGTGTTACAGCTGTAGACAATCAAGCTGCTGAATTTCCTCTTTTAGTTTATTTCTTTTATCCCTGTTTCCTTCACTTAACCATGCTACCATTTTCATCATTTCAGCACCAAAACCTCCTTCCTTGCTTCTGCTTTGACTCAACACACTGCAGGGAACTTTGTTGTGTTGCACGAAGGGCGCACAAAGGCAGCTCCCTCCTCACCATTCCCCTGGCTAGTGTGAACAAAGAGCAACCTGTCAGTCAGAGCCTGTAGTGTCAAGCTATAGGCCTGCAGCACACAGCCTGCATCCCTTTACTATCAAAAGGAGAGGCTGCATCAATTGCATTTGGAGTCATACACTGTGAGTTTAATATGCAGATGATATTTAGCTTATGTCTATACCCTTGAGAGCAGCTGGGGCTCTTCCACCTTCATTCAGTGCTGGCTGAGTCACAGTTGCCATCTGTCACTCTTACAGCTCCATATACTGGCTTTGCCACCCTGCAAGAAAAAGCGGCTGCACCTCGATCACCTGCTCTCTTACAGATTAAAGGGAGCTTACAGGACTAGACAGAAGCTTTGTGTGTCCTACCCGTACCTGAGGTATCACCTAATGCAGATGTATCCAATGTCTCTCTCAGGGCTGAAAGAGGGAAAACTGCCTGAAAATCAAGTAGGTTATGATGCTTAATTCTCTACCCTGCACGTTCTCTTGCAGAATTCCCATCTGGATCACTCATGGACAACCAGAGCTCTATACTTGTCCCCCAGGGGCCAGAATATGCACAGAAGATTGCAAGGCCAGGGCTGGGGAGGGGGATATCCAAACAAAAAAACCTCAAAGCAAAACCCAACCCAAAAAACCCAAAACATCTATTTCCATTATTCAAGTCCCTTGAGAGAAGGAATCAAAATTAATTTCTGCTTTACATGCTTTCTACATTTGGAACACGAAGAGCCAAACCAGGAAGCTCTCTGTAACCCCTCAGGCTGAAAAAAGGCTGGACACAGCTGTTGCAGATTCACATGGCTAGAAAGGAAGAGTAGAGGAAGCCAAGTCCAGCCCTCAGGCAGGAAGCCCGTTTCCGCTGTAGCAGGCTCACCGTGCAAGTAGTATTTGAGAGGAGTGTGCATTTATGATTGGAGACTCACTATACTATTCCAGAGCATGAAGTGAAATGCTTTCATATTGCTTCTGCAATGAACACACGTAAGAGATACAGAACACAGCATTGCTACCAATTCCTTCCTCTAGTTTGAGAGCTCAGTCATGGGATGTCAAGTAACAACATACCCATGCCCTCCCCCAAAAAACCACGAAAAATGGTTTAAGTACAGTTGTTTTGTGATACAGCAGGTCCCTCACCAGCTGTCTTGGGGATTTTCATGGTAAATGCAGCACACACCACCTTGTTAATGTCTGTCTTCTTCAGGGAGAGGAGCGGAAAGGGAAAGGCGTTTTCAAGGCTGTATGAAACACACATTCTTGAACAAAGACAACTTCTCATCCTCTCATGGTTTAATGATTGCTGGAGGAAGATTCTACACCTTCTGAAAGGCACAGAAAGTTCGGTATGCCCATACCCAAAATGTTACACCAAACAGCAGTACATTCACCTGCTCCTGCTGTAGTAAGTGTTCTTCAAAGAACGTCCTCGAGTTGCTTGAAAAAGTAAAATATGTTTTTTAGTGAAGCCCTTATAGGTTGTATTGAGGGTTTTAGTAACAATGTTTATTAGGATTTAGTTTCTAAAAGGACATGTGTTCTTTCTTGGTCAAAGGGAAACTTCATGGTGGTACAAGGCTGCCAAGCAAAAAAGCTATAGAAGGCCAAGAAGTCACCAGAGCTTTAGGGAGGATGAAGAAGAAAACATTTGGCTCCCGCTCATAAATAATTTAAGAAAACCCAAAAATATCTGTACAAACACACATACAAACAGAAAAATCTCATGTTCCACAGATGTTCAGAGATTCAGCGACCTCTTGGGGGCACAGGTGGAGGATAAAAGGCTTCACAGCTTACAGGTCTGTAAAAAGACAGAGAATACAAATGCATTAAAAAGTATCAGAGAATAGGGTTCTGGAACAACATATTGCATGCAGTAACATCATATCTAAGAACACTGCACAAGCAATAGTCATACAAGAAGATAAACAGGCTATCAGTGATTCAGCAACAGAGCAGATGCCAAGGTGCCAGAGCCCTGTTCCTGTTCCAAGCTCGTTCCTCTGCTCTTCAGCTGCAGTAATTGTACTATCACTGGAAACAGATGCTATAATACTTAGTTGGAGTAAAACTTTGATAGTACAGTAGCTTTCTCCTGAAAGTTAGATTAAGAGCAATAGGAAGAGATCGAAAGATAAAATAACATTTTTTCAAACTAACTATAGATAAATTCCAGCTATATTCTTGACAGAGCTAAGCCAACACACAAAAGTTACTGCACCCATACATTAGTAATTACTCTTTTAACAGTCAGAGAATTTTATTAGCATCTATACTTAGATAAGCCACTGGGGCCTGGACTTCATCAACTTGCACTGGTTGGATTAAAGGAATGTTTGCAAGTTACTTAAGTTTCTTGTGGCAAAACCCCCCAACACCTTTTATAAAACCAGTGCAGTTCTTACTTGGAGGCCAATCATACATGTAAACAAGTGTGCTTTGGCAAGACATTTGTAAAAAGAAAAAGAAGTCCAAGGGAATGCCAAAAGAGAATTCCCCCTGCACTACGCTTTGCATGTTCCAAGAGGATCTTCTCACAAGGATCAGGTACTAAATCTCTGCCAGGGGAAGGATGCTACTTCACCTGGGTCAGTCTTATGGCAAGCGTCGTGTGCTTCTATAGTGCTGCCCCTCGCAGTGTGTGAATTGCAGCAACATCATTGCAATAGGAATGTTACCAAGTAGGAAACCAATTCCACAAAGAATTGCAGATGAGAAACAAGGATCTTACAATTCCTAACAGTGTGTGTCTATAGATAATGATCTGGTATATTTTGTTGAAAGACACATTCGCTTTCTGTCTTGATTTCTGCCCAAGGCTTCCATACCGATTCACTGAGAGTTCGATTTGAGCTGCATTTTAGCTTACCTGCTTGCACCTCGAGGAGGCACTCTGGGAGGCCTTTCTGGGAAAGGCAGCCTCTCTGCTTGGTGGGCAACTGGGCTGCGGCTTCTAGTTGTATCTTGGACTTCATTGTCCTACAAAATGAAGAAAGGAGGTTACACACCAGCAGAATTTGGTTCTTGTTAACTTCACAACAAAGTTGCTACATTTTGCCACTTCCGCAAATGCAATGCCATCCCTGAGCTCCTTTTCTTTTCCGTGAAAACAAAGCCATGTACTTAAGAACCGTGGACCAATAAATAGCAGAAGTGAGAGCTTACCTCACTGTCCCCTTCCATCCCACTGCTGACACTCAGTGTGCTCCGAGTGCTGGAGCGGTTACTTGCACTGCCTGGGGTGAGTAAGCAAGAGAAAACAAACTGATTATTAAATCCTGGTGATTTAACTGCAAATCACTAACTCAGGACTCCTTTTAACCTCATGCTTACTTCCTGCACACAAATCATTTAGTGCTTGTTTAGATTAATTTATTTCCACTTATTTTTCACATGTTCAGTATCCAAACAATGGCATTTCATACAACACAGACCACAGGGCCAAACTAATCAGTTTTTCTTTCCTCCTAGCAGATTTCTACCCTATCTAGGTCCAGACTTCTGGTTATATACTCAACTATAATCTAACTTAAAGAATTCAGTGCCAATATCAGATGTCAAATCAGGTGAATATTTTCACAAGTGTTACACACCCAACATTTATGTATTTATCAGTCTCCCCTGTGTGGAGGTTGATGGCTCCAAGCACTGTCACATATTCATTCCTGGAATAAGTGACTGCTTGAGAGGTTATTGTTCCCAGTAGCTCTTCACTACCCCCTCTCACAACAACCCTTACTCATCACAGGAATATTTCCTAGTCTATTTTAGAGCTAAAAATGACAAGTTTGTTCAAACAACCTCCAGCAACCATTTATGGAAACTCGCTTAACTTGCATAGACTACGAGTAGGGAATGTTTCTGCAATCAGCCACGCCATCTCTGAATGGGACAGCAATTCACAAATGTATGCTACACTGCTATGGCTGGTTTCAGTCATAAATACATCATGTTCTTCAGGGCTGTGCAATACTGGGACACTAATGTTCAGAAACCTACACACTGAAATGGAGGTTGGAGAGGGTTTTTTCATAAGATTCAGTCCCTCCCCAGCCTTGGTGAGGTAACTCTCATTTTCAGCTGGCACAAACTGCAGCACTTCAGAGTGCTGAATACTGTGTTAGGGTCCATTCTCACAATCATGCCATGGGAAAGAGAGCTGAGCTGCACACAGTGAACTCTGCAGACTCGTTAACATTTCTCTCACAACTGCTGATATGCAAGTTGCTGGCTCAGTCAGTCGCCTCTGGCACCTACTCTGGATGTGTGCCAGCTATATCTTGCCAAGAGCCACAGAGGTAGTAACCTCACTGGGACTCAGTTTTCCTTTAAGAAGGCCAGAATTATCTCAATGATTTCTGCAAGAATTGTTCAGTCTGCAGTAACAGTGATAATACAGGGATTTAAGTCGCACAAATTAAACCTAATAAAAAATATGCAGACTGTCCACAGGTCCGACAGTCACCAATGAAAAATACTGTCCTTTATCTGCAACAGCTGAGGAAACAAACACACAGGGAACAGTTCCCAGCATGCAATATAGCAATGCCCTTCAGACTAGAACATCACACAGAAAGTCACTGCTGAAAGTCACAGCAAGGAAGTAACTTTTTAAAATTTCTTTTCTTTAAGAGAGCAGCTGCCATCTACTTTTAAAAACTGAAGTCAGGTGAAATGCCTTCCCCAAGAAGGCTCAAGGGAATCTTTTACTCAGCTTTCAGGTTCTCCTCCTGCAGAGATGCAGACACAAGATGCCCAAACTGCTTGATGCGTCTGAAATTGCTTTTACAGTTTTGAAAACAGCTAACCTGAGGCATGCAAGGTTTGGGGTGGCAGTGTCAGTACTGGAATTCAGGAACAGAGGTCCTGTCCCCTGAGCTGACTCCAAAGTCAGGCTTGGGAATTGTTTTCCATGCAGCTTTCCTGTAGAGAGGGTGACACTCAGGGTTTGCTTACTTGTAGTGCTGGATGTGCTTTCTGTTTTCCAGTCTCCTCGCTTTAACTCCTTTTTTGGTGGGAAAATGTTTTTCCTAGGGGCGTATTCATATATTCCACATTCTGGTTTCCCCAAAGTATTATGAGAATGTCGAATGGGTACTGTAATTTCCAAATCTGGAACGGAAAGTGAACAGCTCAGAAGGGTCTATGCAAGTAGAGCCTCTGAGAGACAGCTTTGCATCCAAAGAACAAAATAAAACACAATCATGGAAGTGCAGTCATAACTGTACATGAATGAATGGAGTTCCCTCCACAGATGTGGGCATCCTGTCTTCAGTTTAGGAAATTGAGGAGTAAAGCCACTTCCTTATGTTTTAGCCAACAGGGACATGGATGTGAATATTAAAATACCACATAACTACAGTGCACACAGAGACATTTCTGCCTGAAGAGTCTATTAACATTGTTAGCTGCTTCCTTACCACAGAATGTCAGAATTAGGGACTGTTACCTGCACTTTTGTCTTTTTTTTGCTTCTCCATTTGTCTCCTGGTTATGCTGTCTCGTAGCCGTTTCAGGTTTTCCTAAAAACATCACAAGATACTATTTTCAGGGATTGGTTAAAGGAGGATGAGCAATATTTCTGACAATAACAATATTATATTTCAGCTAACTTTGCAACCAAGATGTAACAAAGCCTGCTAGACCTGGCTGACGTCCAAACCATGTCAACAGGTTTTAATCTATTCCCTTCAGATATCCACGTGTGCCTTCCAGAAGCCAAGCTTTTTCAGATGTTCATTGTGTATGTTAAGGTCAAGTTCACAGACTCACTGGCAGTTACAGATAAACTCCCTCTATTTTCTGTTTTCTCTGTGACACTGGCACAGAAACAAGACCCATGATCAAATCACTGCACAGTCCTTTCTGTACTAATGAACAGGTAATTCTGACCGCAGGGACAGAGGAGGCTGCCACACATCCCAGAGTGTGAGGGGCAATTCACAAAGAATTCAGGATGTCCCCACTGAAGCAAGAGGGGACACATGGAAATGGAACTGGGAGCAAAGTCTCTTTACCACTGTGTGCAGCATACTGCACCTCACAGTTAGAAAAGGTGGGGAGAAAAATTTTTTAAAAAGAGACAACTTTTCCTGCAGGGAAATATGTACATATGTAAGAGAAAGAAACCCCTGAATAGGTGGAAAAGCAGAGAGAGCGATTGCTTTACCATGAGGCAAGATCTGGAGCACAGACTTTGAAAGCTGTTCATGGGATAGGGCACAGAGCATGGCACTTCATCTCTGCTACAGACACGTACTAAAGTAACACTGCATTCTTTAGTAACAGAAGAAGGGATTTATCTGACTGTTTCTGGGTAGAAAGGAACTTTCCAAGAGAGAATCAGGAGAAAAGTCTTGGCTTTGTTCTGACAGCTCCCAAAACAGCATCACACACTAGAGATCAGCACCTCAAGTGTGAGAGCAGACTGCTGCAGCATGAACAAAAGGCTCCAAAAGAAGCAGGCAGTGGTTTTAAAGAGGGAGACCCACTCTAACTTGAGAATGGAAATTTTAAACTATGACTGCTACCTTCTATCAGTCATTACATTGCTGTTGCCAACATAATGACTCCCTCATTCAGCTAAGCCTCCCAAACTCTGTGCTTTCACTAATAACTGTTGCTAGACCTTGCTCAGCTGCAAAGAACAGGTAGTCCTGGAGCCATCAAACACAGAGAGGGATCAGACCATCTACAAGATAGGACTTTAAAGCCAATACACTGTCTGGGACACTGAGTCTTCACTGATTTGAAATGGATGAGAACTGACAAACTAAATGTTCACCACAGAAGTTCCCTGCCAGCAGGCAGGTACTAGGTAACCTCTAGAAAGGCAGTTTAGCCAACTGGATTTGGCTCAATTCCTAGTGTACAAGTCTCCAAAAACTAACAACACTATTGCAAGATAAGCAGATCTGTAAGACAGCTACCTGCTTGCTGCTGCATGGGAACAGCCCCTCTGTGTCAGGAGAGAACTCTGCTAGCTGGGGGACTGTGTTAGCAAACTTCCTGCTCCAACCACACACTGAATGGCTTGTGATTTATATATTTATATAT